ACAGACCTTTAACAGGCAAGTGTGGAGTGTGGGGACTGAAGCTTCATGGTAGTCATGGGACCAAATAAAATGGCAATAGGCCACCTTTTCCACTTCAAGGACCTTAGAGCAGAAATGTGTGGCTCTCAACTTTCCGGGCATGTTAGCAGGTCTCTGTGTGGCAGATGGCTGTCTGTCTGGTCATGAGGGCTCGGATCCCTCCTCTGTACCTTCCTCATTAGCAAGTGAGACAAGCACGATAACTCAGTCAGTCGGTCAGATGTGGTTCCATCCTTGATCTCAGAGAGATGGCCTATTGTCTACAGTATTTTCCAAACACTAATTCACAGTGCAGTGCTGAGCACACATACCATGACAATGTCCTGGGATGCTCTTACAATTTTAAGTTAAAAATCCAGGATTCTGATTCAGGCATGGAACACAAGGATGTGTCTTTTTTTATTTTCCTAGTGATTCTTGAATGATCAAGTTTAAAAATCACTGGTGTAAACTTTCCACTTTGGAATTTAATTAGATTGTCTTGGTGTTTTTTTTTTTTTATCTAAGACTTGAGGGCTGGATTACCCCACCCCTATCAATGAATGACCCAACCAATGACTGAATGAATGAATGAGGATACATCCAGAGTCAGAGGATCAGGAGGAAGGATATTTTTTCATGGTCTACACATTACTGGGAAAAGAAACACAAACCCCCGCTTTTAGGAAGGGATGGACAGGGGAGGGAGGAAGGAAGGAAGGGGGTGGGGAATGGGAGGGAGAAGGAGGGAGAAAGGAAGAAATTACATAGAAATTGACATAAAATGCCTTTGCTTTGGGGGTGTCATGTGATACATCTCTGAAGAACACCTCCAGGTCTGACAAAGACCTGTGAGATATCAGTATGAGGACTGCTGTGTAGACCCTGCCCCTCTCACCTTGAACAAGCTGAACATTTGACCTTATTAGGCCATCCTTCCCCTGAGTTTGCCTAGTTGTGGGCTCTGCCACCACTTCTCTTGGCAAACACATGCATGGGGAGGCAGAAGGTCCTGGGTCCAGGCTTGTGCCCTTCTCTCCTCCGACTCTACTACACTCATCCTCTCTACCCGCCATGTCCTGCACACCTATCTCATTCTCCAAGAACCCACACTCTCAGATCTCTCTTTGTCTTGGCAAGGATTCCAGCCCCTTCCTGGTTCTCTCTTTGTACCTGAACCTGCGCTCCTCCAAGTGTTAACAGGTGTCATGACAATTGGGATGGGGAACATTCTGGCCAAATAAGTATGGCAAACACTGGGTTAAGGAAAGTTAGACAAGTTCCTTTCCTTCGGGATTTCTCAGAGCTTTAAACTAGCTAATGCAATTTGAACATTTCCTAAAGAGAAAAGCATTATTGGAGCTTGCCCCAAACACACTTGGCAATGACACCTATTATATGATGCATCTTCTAGGAGCACTCTTATGCCTTTACCAACAAATGTGTATTGAGTACTTACTATGTGCCAGACATTGTACTGAGCACCAAGCAAGACCCACATAATCTATGCCCCGTGGCACTTAACTCAATAGGCATGTTTGGGGAGCACTTGTCCGAAAGTCCTCCTCTTAGATCTGCCCCTGAGTCCCCTGTTCTTTTCCTCTTCTTACCTTAAGTTCTGCATCTTCTCTCAGTCTTTGAAGTCCTCTGAGAAGCAGAGTCTTTCCTGGCTGGCTCCATCCCATTCCCACACTTTGAACTTCCAGGAGAAGACTGGCCTTGGCCATCATTCCACTTGCCGCTTTAAACAGTGTCACTTGGGCTCTGCAATAGTTTCAAAACAAGCCTTTCTTCCAGTATGGTCCTTCACCACTTTCTCAGCCTCCCTGAATCAAGCTGCCCTTTCCATCAGCATACTATTTCCTCAATTCTGTCCCCTTTTTTTCTTTCTATATTCTCCTGAGTTTGTGCTGGAGACGCTTCTGGAGAGCTGGTTCCACAGCTCGTCTACTCAATCTGTTATCAGGTCCACTGAGAAGCATTCCTAGCCTCCCATCCCTGGCCTGCCCCATCCCTGGCCCATCTGGCTCAGCCTGGGATCCCTCCCCTGGCAGAGTCACCATATTCCCTGCTCAAAAGTTATATTTAGCTCCATGCAGAAAGCCCTGTATCTTGCTCAGGAATATCCCTCCTAGTCATCTGTAAGAAAAGGAACAAAACTTAATGCTCATGCCCATCCACATGCTGTTTCCTTACATCCACCCCTGCCCTAAATCACACACTCACTACGGTGGGGAGTCCATACCCTTGCCAGGAAGCAGCCCTGTTCTGGGAACATGGCCTCAACCCACCTTCTTTATTCAGAGCAGCTCTGCTCCTGGTCACAGTATATGAGACCGGGAATTAGTGCCTGAGCAGAAAGAAGCTCTCCTAGGCTGGGCACATGGGCAGCCAAGCACCTCCGAGGTAGCTTGGATCCAGCGTTTTGTCTCAACTTTGGTTCTACACTGAGAATAGCAAGATGGCCTGAAAGAGGGGGCAATCTATCAGTTTTGGTTGGTGGGGGGAATGAGTGAAGAGGACAAGAGGGGAAGAGAAATAGAAAAGTGCCAACAGCACATGAAAAGATACTCAACATCATTCATCAACAGGATCAGGAAAATGCAAATCAAAACTACAGTGAGATATCACCTTATATCTGTCAGAATGGCTAAAATAAAAAACACAAGGAAGTGTTGGTGAGGATGAGGAGAAAGGTGGGAATGTTGGTGGGAATGCTAACTGGTGCAGCCACTATGGAAAGCAGTATGGAGTTTCCTCAAAAAATTAAAAATAGAATTACCGTATGATCCAGTAATTCCACTACTGGTTATTTACCCAAAGAAAACAAAAACACTAATTCAAAAAGATATATTCACCTCTATGTGTATTGTACCATTATTTACAATAGCCAAGATATGGAAGCAACCTAAGTATCAATAGATGAATGGATAAGGAAGATGTAGCATACTCTCTCTCTCTCTCTCTCTCTCTCTCTCTCACACACACACACACACACACACACACACACACACACACACTGGAATATTACACAGTCATAAAAAAGATGAAATCTTGCCATTTGCAATGAGCTGGATGGAACTAGAGGGCATAATGCTAAGTGAAATAAGTCAGACAGAGAAAGATAAACACCATATGATTTCACTCATATGTGGAATCTAAAAAACAAAACAAATGAATAAACAAATAAAGAGTAGAATCAGACCTATAAATACAGAGAACAAATGGATGTTTGCTAGAGGGAGGAGGGCTGGAAAATGGGCAAAATGGGTGAAGGGGAGTGGGAGATACAGATTTCCAGTTATGGAATGAATAAGTCATAGGAGTGAGAGGCACAGCATAGGGAATATAGTCAATGATGTAATAGTGTTGTATGGTGGCAGATGGGAGCTACGCTTGTGGTGAACATAGAATAATGTATGGAGAATTCGAATTACTATGTTGTACACCTAAAACTAATCTCACATTGTGTGTCAACTATACTCAAATGAAAAATAATTATTGAAGAAAGAGAAAGAAAAGAAAAGTGTCAACGGGAGGAGGCTGGGCCTTGAAGGGCCAGGGTCAATGGCGGAACAGCAGAGGCTGATAAACAGTTGAGTTTTTTGGCCCTTTGAATTGTACATTTTGCTGAGAGACAGTCCCTCCCCCTTCAGTCTCCATAATGACAGCATTGGTAAAGTCTGCTAGGCCCATATATACTTTGTGCACGTGGTTACCTATTGTTTTTTGTTTTAATTTTTTATTTAAATTCAATTTAATTGGGCGCCTGGGTGGCTCAGTTGGTTAGGCGACTGCCTTCGGCTCAGGTCATGATCCTGGAGTCCCAGAATCAAGTCCCACATCGGGCTCCCTGCTCGGCAGGGAGTCTGCTTCTCCCTCTGACCCTCCTCCCTCTCATGCTCTCTGTCTCTCATTCTCTCTCTCTCAGATAAATAAATAAAATCTAAAAAAAAAATTCAATTTAATTAACATACATTGTATTATTAGTTTCAGAGGTAGAATTTAGTGATTCATCAGTTGCATACAAACCCAGTACTCATTACTTCAAGTGCCTGCTTTAATGCCCATCACCCCGTTACTCTATTCCCCACCCACCTCCCCTCCAGCAACCCTCAGTTTGTTCCCTATAGTTAAGAGTGTCTTATGATTTGCCTCTCTCTCTGTTTTTGTCTTATTTTTCCTTCCCTTCTCCTGTGTTCATTTGTTTTGCATCTTAAATTCCACATATGAGTGAAATCATATGGTATCTGTCTTTCTCTGACTGACTTATTTCGCTTAGGGTAATACCCTCTAGTTCCATCCAGGTCATTGAAAATGGCAAGATTTCATTCTTTTTGATGGCTGAGTAATATTCCATTATGTATATATACCACATCTTCTTATGTATTGGTTTTGTTTGCTTTGCTTTGTTACAACACAAAGGTGGTAGTTTTTATGCCAGGATCAACTCTGTGTAGAATAGAGATTGTGTGAGAGGCACCTGAGCCCCCTCAGGGATTCATAACAAGCTTCAAAACCAGGAGAATTGGGGATTCCAGTCATTTGTTCCAAGATGTCTAGGAGGAGAGATGCCATAGCTGGCATTTATGTTTGTGTACACTTATTAATTTACTCAACCAACTCTACAACAAGCAAGAGCTGGAAGGATTTCTGGATACAGTAGGGCTGGTTGAAAATATTTGGGCAGAAGATGAATTCTGTAGGAAAAAAGGAAGACTGCTTCCCAAAGATCAGGGATATTTCAAGATGGTGAACAAACGATATCTATAAAATTCAGACAGGAATAAGCAGTTTGCATGAAGGCTGGTGACTCGTGTGGCAGGTGTGGAAGGCACTGAAGGAAGATTCTTCTGGCTGCTTTGAATAACATGCACCTATTGTTTGTCACACAAGCACCCGATCTCTTCTGGGAACCATTTCCCACCATCCCACTTCCATCCACATGGTTTCCATAAGCAATAGTGTTTTCCATGACCCACCTCTTCCCTGGTGTTGCAGCTGGTAGATGTGGTGCTCAGTCACTGGGTGGCTTTGGTTCCTACGATGTGGATGCCAATGCTCTGGCTGGCTGAGCAGAGGAGAATGTTGCATGATGAGCAGAATGGAGGAAGAGAGATTCTTGGTGGCGTCTAAGATGAGCAGAAAGGAGGAAGAGAGATTCTTGGTGGCTTCTAAGTCTCTGGGTTCTAGTTAATCCTGAAACCCAGTCATTTTTTTGTCCTTAGGTTTAGACATCTCACCTTCCTAATTTAGGTAGTCATCACTTCCAGTGTTCTATCTAGAATAAAGGAGGTCTATCTAGTACAATCCATATGAGCCCCTGGAGAAGGAAATGGAAGAGCCCAGTGACAGCAGGAAGGCTGGCCAGGGAGCTTGTGCAAATAGTCCACACTTGATGAGACAGAGATCTTGTCCATGGCTGTGACAATGGGAATGAGCAGATCCAAATGACATTCAAGGAGACTGAGCTGCAGGAAGTGATGCTAAAATAGAGAGCTTCCCAGCATTTGGAGTGCTCGTCATAGTAACATTTTCCTGTGACACATTTGTTGGCTGTAGTGCTTTTATGGCAATGATGGTTATAACAGCCTCAATACTAGCCCAGTAACTCCTAGGACAGCACTCAACCACAAAACATTTCAGAAAGCCAAGGGCATTCATGAAGACTCAGGGGAGATATAACTCAACCCAAAGAAGAGACTTGATCCAGCCTTTCCAAAAAGGAAATTAAGCAATTCAGCTACCAATTCACCAGCAAGTCCTACTCTCCCCAAATGAAAGGGCAGCTACGACTCCACAGGAAGCACCAGGATCTCTTCCCCGGAGGCCCCGGGGCTGGAGCTGAAGCATCTGGTCTCCAGGGAAGGCTGAAACTGAGAGGAAAGTCCTGGAGGGGCGCCATGACAACAAGAGCCAAAAATGTGTTCAAGTCCAGAGAAGCTCCACCATTCACTAGACTGTATCCTGTGTTTTCTAACCACCTATACAAATATTTGTGGATCCCTCCCCTGTGATCTAGACTGATGATAGGCTTTGGGGAAATTTATAAGTAGTGATCTCACAAACTTTCCTTGAACCTATCTTTCCTTTAAGATCCTTGACATTAATGATTACAAATGTAAGAGGGAGGTCTCTTGGAACAATGATACCCTCTGGGTCTTTTTTTTTTAGAATAAAGGAAAGTTTATATAGAATGTGATCATTCCATGGCATATAATCTCACTATCCATCAGTAGCCCCAGGACCTCTGGAGAAAATGTGAATGCTTGACAGAAAGAATTCAATCTTCAAGCAGAAATAAGTTAAGTTAGTCCTTTGGCCTCCCAGCAATCAATTACAAGGTATAGACATTTTAGTTCCTACACTGTGAAGGATGGGGAGTAACCTGAATACTACATGTTACACTGCAGTAACAAAAGACCCCAAAACCTTAAACAATGGCTTAAACGAAAGTTCACATCTTGTTCATGTGCACGCAGCCACCTGGGTGAACAGCAGTCACCATCTCCCATTGCCAGAGATGTGTGGAGATTATTTCAGAGTCCCTTCATGCTTCCATCCAGAAGTGTTCAGCTTCCTGTCAAGATAGTTCAGTTCTGAATCCAGCTCTGCTGCTGATTTACTATCTAGTATGACTATAAGGTAATAAAATTTAAAAAAGGACAGAACTCAAACATCCAAATGATTCATAGTAGTCCATGTGGTAAGCTTTATACCACTGTGTACTTAGGGCAGTAAGCCTGGCATCACCTGAGAGCCCAACTGTGGCAGTAATCCTGATGCTGCAACACTGTCCCCATGAGGGGAGCCAATGGGAAGCAGGGAGGGGTGGTGCTGAGTCCCAGCTAATCCCCTCACCAGATCCCCAGAGTGACGGAGTGGAGAGGAAGCCTCCCTCTTTTTCTGCTTCTTTCATTGTCTCTTCTTTTTTTAAATAGTGGTACAAGTTCTGTCTCCTCCTAACTTTTTTTTTTAAAGATTTTATTATTTATTTATTTATTTACTTATTTATTTATTTGACAGAGAGAGAAACAGCATGAGAGGGAAGAGGGTCAGGGGGAGAAGCAGGCTCCCTACCTAGCCGGGAGCCCGATGAGGGACTCGATCCTAGGACTCTGGGATCATGACCTGAGCTGAGGGTAGTCGCTCAACCAACTGAGCCACCCAGGCACCCTCCTCCTAACTTTCAAAGGCAATTTTCCACTGAGTTTCTCTCTCTCTCTAAAAGATTATCTGTTTTCCTGTAGTTCTGAGACTTCACAAAAATACATCTAGGTGTGGGTCTTTTTTCTCTCATTATGTTGGGCACTCATTATACACCTTTAATCTGGACAATCATGTTCTTCAGTTCTGGACATCTTTTCTTGATATTTTGTATTTATTTAATTTACTTCTTCCTTTCATTTAATCTGTTCCCTCTTTCTGAAATGGCCATCATTTGGATCTTTTGATCTGATCCTCTATTTTTTTCTCTTTTTCACTTCTCACTTCTCCTCTCTTTGTCTTTCTGTTCTATTTTTTGGATATCTGTCAGCTTCATCATCTAATTTTTTATTTTATGCTACCATATGTTTAAGTGTCTAAATCCCTTTTCTTATTCTGTTGGATTCTTTTCTATAGAATTTTATAGTTGCTCCATGTATATCTCTCTGAAGTCTTTTGTTCCATTTGTTTTGTTTTGTTCTGTACCACATTGTCCTTTTTTCTGTTTGAATCTCTGTTACTCAGTTAAAGGTTTGACATGAATTCTTGGTTATCCTTCACTATCTGTTCATAATTACAGATGAGACCTTGTAAGACATGGATTCATTACAGAAAATTGGCTGTTTCACTAGGGCCCTAAATGCCAGTATTTAAAATACAGTTGACCCTTGAACAACATGAGGATTATGGGCACCAACTCCTCACACAGTCAGAAATCCGCACATAACTTTGATTCCCCCAAACTGAACTACTAATAGCCTACTGTGGATGGGAAGCCTTACCAGAACATAAACAGTTGATTAATACAATTTCATACGTTGTATGTATTACATAGTATTCCTACAATAAAGTGAGCTAGAGAAAAGAAAATGTTTTTAAGAAAATCATAAGGAAGGGAAAATATACTTACAGTACTGTACTGTATTTTTTGGGGGAAAAAAGCCATGTAGTGTAAACTCGTGTTGTTCAAAGGTTAACTGTATTTCATATTGGACCACTGTCCTTATAGAGGATCCTCAAACCTCCTACCTGGGATGTCCCCAAATCTAGAGGCTGTCTAGCTCAATATCCCCAGAAAGTAAATCTCCCACCTTGTCCTGGAATAAGGAAAGCATGATTGCCAGTTATACAGGGTGAACAAAACCATCTGAAGCCCTAATTCTCCTTTGGCTTTCCATCATTATTCCTGTTTTCAGCCCCACCTGCATCCTGACCCAATGCTCTAATTCCTGGGTTTTTCCAGGTTTCTGTGAGAAGAGAGATCTTGCTTTTTTTCCATTTTCTACCCAGAGACTTAGGTAGTAGCTGTCCCTGGGATTCAAGTCATTTATATGTCTCCCTTCTCCTTTCAAGTTTCCAAACTGCTAACTTCTAGACACAGAAATCTCCCCTCCTTTCCCTTCAATTCTAGTGGGTTTATGGTGTGTTATTCTTTTACTATCACTTTGGTGGGATTTCAGAAGGGAGAAAAGATGAATAAAATGTTCAAACTTCTTTGTTTAACTGGAAGTCTGTTATGATCTATTTTTAATGTATGTTATATTACTGGATGTTATATAACTTAGATTATATCTGAGGCAAAATGAGAGGGAGAAAGAGCAATAGAGGAACAGAGAGGGAAAAAAAGGAGAGAAAGAAGAAAAATAGAGATAGGAGTGGATGCGCAGAAATAGTGTTCACTAGGGGTAAGAAATCATTTTTTGGTGGGCACACAGGTCACTCAGAAAAACAAAAGTGTTCACACATTTTTTTACAAAATGAAAATATCTTGAGTCTAATTATAGGTGTCTATAAATACATATATATCCGTATAATGTAGAAGACTTACTTTATTGCATAGAAAAATATTTAAGGGCAAATATTCCTCAGTTATTAAAGCATTAGCATCTGAGGCATCTTTGAGAAGCAGTAATGCAGACACACCCCTTTCAGCATTTAACCTGAAAACTCCATCAGAGGCCATATCAGGAAGTTACATGGACAGAACATGGACCACAAGTTGTGATAGTCCCTTGTCACCAGACGGAATATTCATCTGACAATGATGGACAGTGCACTGGAGCCTTTAATGGACATGAACGCACTGGCAGTGGCTGTCGAACTCCATTCTGCTCCACCCTGGGCCTCAAGATGCTATAAGGACACAAACTTGTTGGCCCCTGCTGAAGTGGGCCAGGGCCCCAAGGGAGAGGGGACAGCCACGGGGCATGTACCAGCACCGTGATGCATGGTGTACTAAAGAGCAAGTCAAAATTTTTTGTTGGTTAAAACAACAAAATAATTCTTATTTTGGAAGACTCATGGACATCAGATAATTATACAATGAGAATACTGAGACCAATATTATCTAATTATCTTTAGAGCCTTCCAAATCTAAGGACGGCACCTTTGATACTCCTTGTTCCAGTCAAATGCTTGTGTAACTGAGATTGTGTTTATCAAATTTTCAAGCTGAGAAGAATCACTATGTAGAGAAACTTGGAAGACCCTTTACTAACAAGAAAAAGGCTATGGTAATTCTAAAAATCACATCCCCTCCACATGTTACCTTGGCTTGGCTTGGTTTTTGCTTTTTCATTGGGCTTTATTAACACCAGGCATTGCAGCTTTGATAATCTGGTTTGCCTTCCCTGTCCATAACATTTCAGAGAGTCAAACAAAAGGTTTAGAAAGAGATTAACTATTTTTATTGCAATGTCTTTAAGAGTAGACTGATCACATCTCACTCACTGCTTTTATGCTTACATGGGACTTCTCTTGCTAGACTAGTAGGTTGGAAATCTAATTTTCAATGTTGACTTTCTATAGTCTGTTCCAACATGGAATATTTCAGAGTTTAAAAAAAAAATTGGCCTCAAGACAGCCTAAAATCTGCCCTAGAAGGAAGTGGGCACAGAATGAACCAGGCAATACATACTATTTCTGG